CACCTAAAAAAAATGAAAATTCTGCCATCATTTGCTCACCCTCATGTTGTTTCAAACCTGTGTGAGTTTCTGTTTTCTGCAGAACAGTATTTTTTTCCACACTATGGAAGTCAATGGCTACCGTCAACTGTTTGGTTGCCAACATTCTTCAGAATGTCTTTTATTCTCAACAGAAGAACGAAGTTTGGAATAACTTGAGGGCGAGTAAATGATGACAGTTTTTTCTGTCTGTTTTTGGGTGAACTTTCCCTTTAACATAGTTGATCATTTTCCAGTTGTGTGTACACTGTTGTTGCTGATTTTATTTAATTTGTTCATGTTTAGTAAGCTGTTGTCTTGTGATGTCAGGTTGGGGTTGTTCCTCTGTCAGAATTGCAGGTTAGATGAACTGTCATGCTTCTTGTACCAAGTGTTGAGGACTGAGTGTGGCTTTTAAAGACATTTTAAGAGTGTTTTATTTCATGTGAGTGTTAATGGGATCAATGTATAATCCATATCAATTCAGTTCAGTTCACTTTATTGTCACATACTGGAAACAAGCGTACAAGGAGTGAAAATGCATAGATCAGTCATTGCAACACAATAAAAATTCAATAATCTCAACATACACACTGATACATTACAGTAAAAAAAAAGTTTAAGAAAACAGGCACGTGCTCAAAACCACGTAACTGAAGAAAACTTTCTGAAAAAGTTCATCATACTAGCATCATTGTTTACTCAAGACATTTATTTGTTTAGCAAATGAATTCAACTTTAAAAGCGTATGCAAACATTTGCCTTTGAGGCTTTACAACACCTCATTTTTGTCAGTTTCAGACATCTTACAGGTCACCACACAGGCAAAATACGCAAATAAGCAAAATTACCCGCAGCGTGCTCACATTTGACTGGTGGCGGGTGTTAATTTCACACCCTGCTGTAGAAAGATGCCATGTTTTCAGATCAGCGCTTTTTCTCATGCTGTGTTTTGCTTTGTTTGTTCATTTTATGTATTTTCTTTTCGATTTTCAGATCTTGTAGGGCAGCAGATTAGTATTTCCTCACAGATACAGGCTGCTGAAAGCATTCAGACATGCACACATGGGACTGTTGTCTCAGAGTACTGGATGCCATTCAGATAACTGTGCTCAAAATAAAGATATTGATCTGTAGGGCAGCTTTTTGGGTAGTATGTGACAGGATGTGACAGATGTTTGGTAGTGGCAGCTATAACCCATTTCCTGTGAGTTATTTGCAGAAACGAGTCCTGTTTTTTTATTTGACACTGTGCCTGGAGTGTTGTTAACTTCATGCCAGAAATCACAGTTTACAGCAGTGATAGAATCTCCACAGCTGTCCATCTTAACAAGTGACTGAGAAATAATAAAAATATATATATAGACGTATTTTTAAATTGAACAAACTAGTTGACTAAAATTATTAAACAATTAAATTAAACAGATTTTTGGAGTACGTTTTACAAGAAATTCTATTTTAGTCTTTCTACTTAAAAATCGCAGGTTTAATACTTGCCAATTCTTTGTGAAATTTACTAACAATTTCTAAATGAAAATTGTTTCTACACCGATTTTATTTTTGAAGTAGGAAAATAAAGATTAATGGAGTAAGTTACATTTAATTAGTCATTTCTTTGTAATTATTTGTGAAATTCACTAGCAATTTCTTGAGTGAAAATATTTCAAAAATAGTTTTTGAGTGTGCTTCTGTTTTGCAAAAAAAAAAATTAACACAAATGTTTTTCATTACAAATTCTGTTGTCAACAACGAGTACAATTTTAATTGCTAAAATGTCCACGAATTCCTTTGGTTTCTATTTTATAGCTTATTTTTGTTTATGTTTATTTATGGTTTAAATACAACAAAGAAAAATGCATTGTAATCTCAGAGTTTTAAACCCAACAGTACTTTTTTTGATGTAATGTTTTTAGACTTAAAAACGATCAGCAGTCACGCTAATTTATTTAAAGTCATCTTTATTCTGAAGTATTCTTTAAATAGATTAATTACAAGAGTACTTTCAGTTATTTGGTTTTATATGAACAAAAAGTAGGCTATAAATTAACTCTGTTCTGTTGATTTGTTGACAGTAAAGGACCTTTTAGACAAAGTGTGTCAGGTCTCGTTGCATGTCTACCTCTCGTATGTTCTCCGCAGACAGCATGCAACCTCACGCAAATCAGCCGCAAGTTGTATGTTTAAATATTGACGTCTAGGTTTGGAGATCCCCTAATGGCACGTATTTGAGCGGATGCAGAAAAACAGCATTAACACAAAAAATACAATGTTTTGCTGCTGAGTTGGCGATGAAAATTCTAAAATATTCTTGCGTCTTCTTGAATCTATAGTTTTCTTGCATTACATCACGTATGAACTGAGCTGTCCGTTATACTACTTAAAGCGTAAAAGCTGTAATTGGTCAGCAGAAACAGCAGTGATCGTGCAATTCAGCATGCCAAAAAATTACTTAATCCTGCTGTTTGCGGTGGTGACATGAAGTTTCAGCTGTTGGGTTTTATTACCTGAATTTGAGACATAGTTTAACAGAAGTGATTATGGCAAAGCTCTTTCGCAATCATATTGCATTTCTTCATTAGAAATCAGTCTATAGGAAGACCTAAAAATGAACATAGCCAACAAATGTATAAGAATATACATTCCACATTCATAATCTTTCGTCTTCTGCAACATTTTGCTCATGAATGCACTCCATGTGCATTTCATTATGAGGGTTAGACATCTTTAGCTGTTCACATGTATAAAAACATGCAGTGTGCATTATTTGAAAGATTTTTTGTGTTGCATAATTCACTTTGTGAAGTTTATTTACTCATCTTGATGATAATGTTGTATTACCCTGATCTTTGTAAATATTCATGTCACTATAATGTTGAAGACAGAAAGCTTTATTTATTTCAGAATACTGTGTATACACCAGATTATACATCACATAATTGTGAACAGGGTTGAACATAAGAGCAACTGTAAAAAAAAAAAACAATTGCTGTACATTATGTAACTTTTTTTTACGCATTGCAGTCTGCAAGAGACTAAACTGGCGTTGGTCGAGGAAATTTTGCAAGCGCACTGTATAAAGATAGAAACTATGAAAGGTGTCAGTCTGGAAGGAAAGTATTATCAAAGAAAGCGGCAAAACTCTACACTTCCAGTCACACGTGCAAACCACAAAAACCCACTTAGAATGAAATTGTGGTAAAATAGCATTTTAGTGAAATAAATGATTTACGACTCAAAGAGTGGCCATAAAGAGATTTTTTTTCTTTTTCAACAACATTCTTAAATATAAAGGTTCTTTTGTAATTATTGGTTCCTTTAAGAACCTTGAACATCAAGAACATTTTTATTCCACAAAAGGTTCTTTATAGTGGAAAACAATTCTTTAGATTATTTAAATGCTCTTTACACCAAGAGAAATGAAGATTCACTGGAAGGTTCTTTGAGAAAACAAAAATGATTCTTCTTTGGCATCACTCCAAAAACCTCTTTTGAAACCTTTATTTTAAAGTGAAATGAAGACGTATTTTACAGTCAAATGATTGTCTTATGATTTACTGAAAGTAAAATAGTAACAGTAAATAATAAAAGTTTATTTGTTGTCATTTCTCTTAACACAGTAGGAGCGGAAATGAAATATGTCTCCGAAACCACGGTACAGAACTTAAAACACAGGTTAGCCAACATGTGGGCAATTCTAGATCGGAAATAGAGCGTGTTTACCAAGTCAACAGTTTTACAAAGTTAGCCAATCTCACAACAATCATACAGAATGCATGTGCTTTTTTGCTTTTTTCAGGCTTTTAACCCTCCTGTTGTGTTGGGGACATCACATTTCATTTTCTTAATTGCTTGAAAATGGTTAAACTTTATTTATTCTTAAACTTTTGTGACTTTTTTACATTTAGGGTAATGGATGTGCATGCAAAGTTTCAACACGTAGATGTGTTTTGGAGGCTGTACAAAATTGTTACAACCCTTGGTTTTCATCCAATTTGCCAAAAAACTTTGAAAAACACTAAAGAGTCAAGTAAAAAAAAAACAGAAAACCTTTATTGTAGCTTGTCAAAGACTAAAATATGAAATACATGGAAACTTATGAAGTTCAAGACTCGAAATTGCAGACTCGTCTTCTGGATCATTCACGGTTTCTTCATAAATTTGAGTTTCACAGTCAAAAAGTCTGTGAAATGGTATTTTTGGCTGTTAGTTTTTTTTACTAGACCATTGTTAATGAAAACATCTGATATTAAAGCACACTTACTGGATGTTGAAAAGCCATTTGGAAGTTAGCAGTAGGAATCATGTAATCCTGTAATTAAGTTGTATAATTCCCAGTGTCCACTGAGAAAACTCCCCTCGCAGAGACTTATCAGGGCAGGAACTCAATAGCTCTGGCTCCAGTATGCAAACACAAAGCTGCACTCCTATTTCCACTAATGAGCTCCAAAGAAATGTCTCATCCCAAACTATCCACGAACTCCCAGTGGATGGGAATGGGTGGGGTGTTTTCTTTAGCCACACACACACACAATCGCAGTCTTCCTGTGTTCCTCCCCTCTTTTGTTTCTCCCCTTTAAATGCTCCAGCCACAGCTAACCCACGTCCATTTATTCACCTAACAGCTCCCTCACACGCTCCATGTAGCTGACATTCATAATTTGTCTTGCACAATGCTTTCTCTCTCTGGATTACTTTTGCTTTTGCTGGATCTGTCTATGATCTGTGGTAGGAGATCTTTAGTTTAAGATCTAAGATAAAGCATGAGTGTATCTGTATGAACATCAGCAATGCCATTACTATTGTTCTTGGATATTATCTAGGAGACATGAAATCCCATTATAAGCTTTTCTATGAATCATCGACTTTTCTATTGTTGCACTAAGCTTCCAACTTGTTTACAATAGAATGGATTTATTATAAGAAGTTGTAGCATGTCTGGTAGCAACATGGGTGTTCATTAAAAAGTTTGTTTCTATTTTCAGGTCAAACGACGCAAGATAACAGAACAGCATTTGAAGGTAAGGGACAATCTACTAAATGATCTCTTAAAAAGAAAAAAAAAACTCTTTAAAATAGTAATTTCTTTTAGATTAAAATTGAGATTTGCCAAAATCACCTGCTTTTCACATATTCTTCTGAGAAAACTATAGCAATCTCGATGGAAGCCTGTTTTCACCACAAAATTAAAAAAAGGTAATTGTGACTTTTTAATCTTACATTTATGAGTTTATATCTCATAATTTGCAAAAAAGTCTGAATTGCGAGGTAAAAGGTCAGAATTATGAGATAATAAAGGGATAGTTCACACCAAAATTAATGTTTGTAACCAAACAATTGCTGTCAGCCATTGACTTCAATGGTATTTTTTCCTTAGTATGTAAGTCAATGGCTATAGCAACTGTTTGGTTACCAACATTCTTCAAAATATCTTCTTTTGTGTTCACCAGAAGAAATGAATTCATATAGGTTTGGAACAACATGAGGGTAAATGATGACAGAATTTTCATTTGTGGGTGACTAACTATCCCTTTAACTCAGAATTGCGAGGGAAAAAGTCAGAATTGTGAGATAAAAAGTTGCAATTACCTTTTTTTTTTTTGTTCATTAAAAAGTTTGTTTCTATTTTCAGGTCAAACAACGCAAGATAACAGAACAGCATTTGAAGGTAAGGGACAATCTACTAAATGATCTCTTAAAAAGAAAAAAAAAACTCTTTAAAATAGTAGTTATTTCTTTTAGATTAAAATTGAGATTTGCCAAAATCACCTGCTTCTCACATATTCTTCTGAGAAAACTATAGCAATCTCGATGGAAGCCTGTTTTCACCACAAAATTAAAAAAAGGTAATTGTGACTTTTTAATCTTACATTTATGAGTTTATATCTCATAATTTGCAAAAAAGTCTGAATTGCGAGGTAAAAGGTCAGAATTATGAGATAATAAAGGGATAGTTCACACCAAAATTAATGTTTGTAACCAAACAATTGCTGTCAGCCATTGACTTCAATGGTATTTTTTCCTTAGTATGTAAGTCAATGGCTATAGCAACTGTTTGGTTACCAACATTCTTCAAAATATCTTCTTTTGTGTTCACCAGAAGAAATGAATTCATATAGGTTTGGAACAACATGAGGGTAAATGATGACAGAATTTTCATTTGTGGGTGACTAACTATCCCTTTAACTCAGAATTGCGAGGGAAAAAGTCAGAATTGTGAGATAAAAAGTTGCAATTACCTTTTTTTTTTTTCATGGAGTAAATGGTTTTCCACAAATCTCAACCGCAATCTCAAAATTGTTTCAAATTGTGCTCAGATTTGCCAAGATACCAAAGTCTGCAATCAAACGTGAGATATTTCAATATGAACTCAAATATTTCTCATCTGCGATGTCCATGTTCATTTTATAACTCTATACTCTTGCTGCATGTCAACATTGTCTTGTTTGTGTCTTTTTTTAGTTAAGAAAGTTTGGGATGATTCAAAGATTATACTTCAATGAAGTCTCATGAGTTATGAAAGAGAAACCTCTGAGCAATAACATTTTCTGGGTATTTATATGATTGTAATTTGAATGAAAGACAATTGACATCCATAATATATACATTTTACTCTAGACACTAAAAATATTCTCAAACAATTTTAATGTTAATACACTTAAGTTTATATCAAAATTCTTTAATTCACAAAGGTGGGTGTTTATACAGTTAAAGAGGGACACTACTGTATTTTTAATGTAATATTTATTTATTTTTCTTCTATATATTTAAAAAAATTATTTTCATATTTAAAAAAAATGCCTATGACAAATTTTCATTAAGTGTCCATTCACCCTATATTGAATTGCATTGATAATAGGAATGCTAAAACATCATTTACTCATTTCGTAATGGTGTTTTTTCTTCAGATGAGAGGATCAGAGTCAAAAATGAAAGTGTACAGCAAGAACTAGACAAATATTTTAGCACAGGTACATAATGTCTGCATTATTTATGCCTGCATCATTTCATCGCACGCACTGCTGACATTCATAATGACATTTTCACTCTTTTCAGAGAGACCCAACGTCACGTATGAGGACAAAGGTAAGAGATTTCTGTGACTCTGTATGTTTGAGTATTAGACTTCACTAGATCACTTGTTGTCAGTATCAATTATTAAACAAATCTCTTGTGACTCAGAGAATTTTCAGACTTCTCAAGATTTTCAAATAAGCTACAGTCACTGTCATGAAGAGATGTTGAAGAATTATGGTGGACAGTGCTGGGAGATTTTCAATGACAGCATGAGTGAACTGGGCAAGGAGAATTGGTGTAATATGGAGATGGTGATAAGGTAAGTCAGAGCTTCTTCTTCACATGTGACTTTACTTAAAGGGATAGTTCACCCAAAAATGAAAATTTGATGTTTATCTGCTTACCCCCAGGGCATCCAAGATGTAGGTGACTTTGTTTCTTCAGTAGATCACAAACGAAGATTTTTAACTCAAACCGTTGCAGTCTGTCCGTCTTATAATGGAAGTGAATGGGAATCACGGCTTTGAGAGTAAAAAAAAAACATACACAAACAAAACCAAATCAAAGCCTGCGGCTCGTGACGATACATTGAGGTCTTAAGACACTCAATGGTCCACTTGAGAGATAGGTGGCGGTAATGCACTTATAACTCTGCGATCCGCCGGAAAGCAAGAAGAAGAAGAAGATACGTCACGCGCCGGCTGTCGAGAACCCACTCAGGACAGTTCAGACATTGCGGTGAATCAGAGGTAAAAAAAACGATATAAATACTGTTCAGTTTCTTGCACAGACCGATCGTTTTGTGTCTTT